GAGTTTAAAAAAAATAACGTCATTACTGAAAGCAATAAAGAAAAATATCTGGCACGTTACTTTTTCCAAGAATAAATAAATACAGAAATCCTTTTACGGCATGCATAATAAATCTACGAGTTTCCTTTTGAAAAAGTTTGCGACAACCAATAGAACTTTCCATTGCTACAGAGGTTCATATTTTTTACAATTTTATACCAATAGTTCTTTCAAATATTTTTTTTTTAAACTTTCTTTGCTAAAGTTAGAAAAAGACTGGTGCAAGCATTCAACATAGTTTCTATCTTTTGCTTCCAGCATGTTTTGCAACTTTTATGTTTTTCTTTGCCTGTCAAGTGTCTTAGAAAAATATTGCAGATGGCGAAATTCGAATTTTCTGTTTCCTTTTAGTGCTTGTTTTGAATTTATTTTTATTTTGTCACATGGAATTTTTTTTTAAATGAAGTATGTTTTTCTTATATTTAGGGAAAAGTAATTATGACTTATTGCTTTTTCTAGATTTTTTTTGATATAGAAGGGAGAATATAGGTGATATAGGGATGAATGCTAGTGCATATGGACATGAAGCTAGAGAGGACATAATGAATAGTTTTTTTATTTTTTATTTATGGCTCAAATCTCCTTGGCAACGCTGATGTTCACTTCCATGTGAAGTTGCATAATCACCCTGTGATTGCTTTGGTAGAAAATTTTAAAAGAAGATTTTTAAAAGTGCAAACGTAATTTTTCAAATTTTCTCTTTAAAATCATATTAAAATATTTTATTTTTAAAATTTTCAGCAAATCACGATATTATGTTTACACTGATTTTTACCTATTCTGATATTAACTTTTGCTCTATATTGTTTAAGTTAACGATCATTTGGCAAAGGCTCGCGTGGTGTCGTGTTGATATGCCCACATTGGCCCCATTCCATTTCCTATGGAAGACATATGAATTGGGTGAATTTGAAAGATGACCAAGCCGGTCGCCAAAGACTGCTAGTAATTATATGATAAATGAACCATTAAGAATAAGCGTTTGTTTTTTCTGAAGAAATAGCTCATAAGTCCTTAAAAAGCTTTGTAAAAATCATGCAAACTTTTTCTATCGTTTAAGTCTTTATTACTCTTAAAATATAGGTATGGTAAGAGTAAAGGGGACTACCTGGCATGGTTTTAGTTTTCAATAATACATATACCATATTTGAGTAAAACCAAGCCTAGGGGAACCGCATACTTAAAAAATAAAATTTGAAAGACTTAAATGCTAAATTTTCTAAAATGTTTTTGTAAGAACATATCATTTTATGTAAGAAAAATTAAAATTTTAAATGAAGTTCTGTAGTTTTAGCGAAATTTAAATAAAATCCTGTCAAAATATTGAAAGGAAACATTTATAAAACAAATTGTTATTTATTATTATATATTATATATATTGTACCTAAAAAGCAATAAAAAGTTCTTTATTGCAACAATTATCAATCATTTTCCGGACTAATCATCTATTTCTCTTCATTCTTTTTTCAGGAATCGCAAGATACTTATCTTTTCACCCCTTTTTTTATCGTATTTAGTTTAACATACTGTTTGATTTAATTAAATGAGAGTTAATTGTAGAATTTAATTTCTAACTTACCGAAATCGGTTTTTACTGCGTCAAAACAAATTGTTATTTATTATANATATATATATATATATATATATATATATATATATATATATATATATATATATATATTTGTACCTAAAAAGCAATTTAAAAAGTTCTTTATTTCAACAATTATCAATCATTTTCCGGACTAATCATCTATTTCTCTCCTTTCTTTTTCTACGAATCGCAAGGTACTCTACTGATATTTCCCCTCTTTTTTTAAAATCTTTTTTAGTTTACTGTTTGATTTAATTGGATGAGAGTTAATTGTAGAAATTAATTTCAAAACTTACCGAAATCGGTTATACTGCGTCAAACGTAGATAATTACTTAGTCTTTGGAGGCTGATAATTTATTTCTGATTAAAAATGAATTTCTTCAACTTATACGTAAAACTCTCTATTTTTTTTTCGTATAAAGCTTCAAAATGCATTATTCTTTTTTTTTTTTTTTAAAAAAAAAATAATTCTAAATTTGTCCTGAATTAAAAAAAATTAAATGAATAAAAACAAAAGAGTGTAATACTTTATAAATGTAAATATGCAACAAAATAATATTTCATTCACTATGATGTAGTTTTTAAAGTTAAAATAAGTTTTTATACAGTTTGAAACAAACTGAAAATGAAGGCTAAGAAATTAAATTTTTTTAAAGATCTTATAATTTTTCCCGATATTTTTTAAAAATTTTGTTTGACCAATGTATGACTCTTTTTTATTGAAATTATTTGTTAATTATATTTTAAACTAAGAAAGTGAGAAGTGTTTTAATTATGAGAAAGAAACAATTCCGATATTTTTACGAGGCCATCTAAAAATATATAATGAATACTAGTTTTTTTTAACACGAATTTAATCTAATAAATAAATAAAGTAATTTAATCAAAGTTCAGCAAAAAGTTTTACATTCATTTTTCAGTATTTAGAACTTTTTTTAAAATGCGAATTTAGCCCCCAAATGAATGTTGACAGCGTGAATATTTTTTAACAGTATATGCAGAATCGAAATTTCTGTTTAGTATTTTAACATTTTACTTAAATATATTTTAATGAAAAACTTTGCCCTCTAATTTAAAATTTACTTTACGTTATGAAGATACTTTTAATTAAAGTTTTCATTAATTTTCTAAAAACAAAAACGCCGTTTATGGAAACATTGTTTTATGGAAAATATGTAACAATTAATAACGATTTGTTTGTGTTAAAAATTAATTAAAAAGTTTCTTACACAAACATTAAACGATGTTTGTAATTTCCGTTTTTCAGATCTAAACAGACTCGCGTTCAATTTGAATTTGGAATGAATACATTTGTTTCTATTATCATTCTAGACCCTAATCTATACCTTTTGTTTCGTGCGTTGAAATCAAAATGAAGTAAAGAAGAAGAAGAAAAAAAAGTGAAAATGACACGAGAACTTTCACAATCGTTCCGAATTTATAAAATTTTGCTTTTGGAACAAAAGTATCTTTCGCTTTCGCTTTCTTTAGTTTACTGGAGATGGCAACGCATTTCATTTTGTATTCTTGCGCGAAACAAGTTTAATCGTGTGTTCTCCTGTTTTGTACGATGAAAAAGAATTGTTTGAAGCAACAATGATGTTTCTCATTTTCATATATTTCGAAAGTACTTGAAATAACTTTTTCTCTTTCTTTGCACATTGTAGTTGTAATTACAAATTCTGCAGATTTTTTTTTTTTACATTTCTAAAAGCACCGAATTACTACCCCCTAATTTCTGCTTTTGTAAAATATGTTAATTGTGCTTGCATGATTCTATGAATAAAAGGAATGCAACATAAGAGAATGTCAGATAAGCTAAAAATAATGCTTCGATTGTAATTTGAGATTGTAATACAACTTTTGTATTGTACTACATTTCAAATAATGTGTTCTGATTATATTGTACAAATAAGTAATTGTTCTTTTACACCTTTTCTTCGTTTTTAGGATATCGATTTAATTTGTATGTAAATGTTCAAAATTAATTCTACTTATTTATTTCTGAAACAAAGATTTCTCGTTAGTTTAATCAATTTCATTTCTTGAAATATAGTTTGCCAACTAAATAAATTATTTGCATTTTTTAAAAATTTATAATAACATGAAATTTAAATGCTTAGAAATTGGATGCAACGCAAGTTGATTTTTTTTTAATTGTGCAAGAATATTAACATTTATCGTCAATTGATATAATATTAGTAATTTGTTTTCAAGGAAAATTTTATATCTCTTATCAAGGAATATTATATCTCTTATCATCGCGGAATTTATAATCAAAGTTGTATGCTTAGATTTGGAAAAAAATGTAGTTAAGAAAAGGATTGCATATTCTTAATTTTCATTCAGGTTATAGCTCATATTAGTGTGAACAGCAATTCCACATCCAGTTTAACTCATTTAACTGCAAATGTGTTTATTATAGAACACTCAATTGCTTTAATCGTGTGTTAATAAAAAAGGCAATGATTTCTTTAAAAAAATATTTGAAACGAAATACAATTAATATTTATATCTATTGGGAATGATTTTTCTATTCTATGCTAAAGTTGCTTTTAACAGATCTGCTGTTCCCTTATTTAAAAATTAGCGATAGGAACTAAACTATGGAGCGCACAATTTTTTTCTGTCTTTCTTTTTGTGTTGATAGATTATCAAGGCCTTATGCAAATTTGGATTTGAAATTATCGAAGTCAATATTTTTAAATCTTAAGTAATAACATATATACATTTTAATTTAAANAGGAACTAAACTATGGAGCGCACAATTTTTTTCTGTCTTTCTTTTTGTGTTGATAGATTATCAAGGCCTTATGCAAATTTGGATTTGAAATTATCGAAGTCAATATTTTTAAATGTTAAGTAATAACATATATACAAAATTACTTTAAGTCATGAATGTATACTTTATTTATATACAAATATATAGTATAACTTTTATAAGTTTGTTCAAACACTGCTCATAAAGCAAGGATGGAGCTAACCTGATTGCAAGGATATATATTAGAGTATTCCCACAAACATCCTCGATAGTAATTTTTAAAAAAATTTATTTTAAAAAAAGTTTTAAATGTATATTAATCTGTAACGGAAAAAGTTAAAACAAAGCATAATAGAGAAATATATTTAGAAATAAGTTTTTACATTATCAATTACTTTTAAAGTGACTAATTTGGCAAATTATTAATCGATATTAAGCAACTATATTTTATATACAATAATAAATTTGAATTCTGAAGTAAATGTAAAAGTCATAAAAATTAAGGTGAAAGCATGGTTTTCTTTCATCTTTATTTTAAGTACAATGTCAGATGATACATTTTTAAAAGTAACCGGTGTATCAGCATACAAATAAATCAAAATACATACCTATTGAAGAATAAATCCCATGGACATTAATCAAAAAAACCCAAACAAACTCAAGAGCTCCACATCAATAATCCTCAATCTAATCCAAACGCGACAGGGTTTATCCAAGCATTGAAAGTTGTGAAAGTGATTGTATCCACTCGAAAAGAACTGGTAACTTCAGCACGAATAGTGGCTGTTGATTTAATGGTTGGCGACTATTACTTTCTCAATTCAATTCCACTTCTTCCGATTCTCATCATCCGTTGACCCAGTTTGTCTCTACCTGAAGTGTGGATATTTTTTTTTCTCTCTCTCGCTGGTCACTTCTATCGTTCATTCATTAGACTATTTCCTGTGTCCCCATGTCCTGGATAGGGTTATGGGCAGCCAAGTGGTTTGTTCTCCAAAAAGGTGCGTAATCTTCTTCTTCCTCATTGTGCAACGCCAATCTTGTTTAGATCTTTAAAACGTCTTCTTTTAAAGTTTTTCTCTTTTGCCAAAGGATTAGAAGTTAATTGGCTTTTTTTTCTTGTTTTAGAAAGTGAAAGGATTTTTTGTTGTTGATTTTATCTCTTGGAGACTGTTGAAAAGTTCTGGTCTGAATTGTAAGGTTATTCGGTATTCTTATAGGAATAAAAGGAAACGTTTTCTGTGTTTTAGTTAATTGCATTGGAGCTAAGTCGATCATTGCTTATTTTTGTTTTTTTTATTTACTTTTGGGTCTTTGAAGCCTCAATAATTAAGCAGAAGATTTATATTTAGCTAGCATTCCTCAAATTATACAGTTGTTCACAAAGACATGCAAATTAAATTACATATTTTTTGAAGTTACTCGAAGGATCAGTCTAAATTTGTAACTAATTATTACTTTTATTTTAATTTTTATATCAATAAACGTGTGTATGTTAAAAACAATTAATTTCCTAAAATCGAATATCATTTTTCAAATACTGGCATGATTTTTTGAAATTCTGGAGAAAAATAGAAAATGCTAGATGAAAATCGAAAATGCTCAATGAATATAAAGAACTTTACTTTATACAAAGTGATTTTTAAAAATTATGGCCAAAATGGAAAGATAAATTTGTCATTCAAAAAGATGAAAAAAATCGCACAAGTACCATAGGATAAGCACTATTCAGAGCTGCTGGAGGGTTTGTAAATGTTTCTTAATATGCTAAGAAAATAAACAAAATTCATTCGGCATATTTTATTTTTTCTATATTTTCTCAAACGTTGCACATTTATGATCAATGCTACAACAAAATATGTTCTATGTTATGGCCAGACGATTAGAGACCAGCATTACATCGACACCTTATAAGTAATGCAACTGCGAAATGTCAAACCTATTGGAACTACCTCGATCATATTTTCTATCGCAACAATCAGGCAAAACTTTTGACCATCTCTTGTATTAGTTAGCCGTAAATGTGTTATATATGTGTGGAAATACAGTAGAAATAAAACGATGTAGATTTTTTTTGTCTTCGTATACAATGTATAACGTGCTGCCCCATCTAGCGACTCCTTTGAGCATTTATGAAACCAATTAATCCTGTGTAATTTTTCATTATTTTTGTCTGACTGATTTGCCATTTTATTTTGCCCACAACTTTTTGAATTACACAGTTGAAGAACCCAGATTCCTGAAAATATGGATATTCGCTGTGTATAGTAATCTATCACAAGCTAACCCGTCACTATTTTACTTTTCTTCAAACATCTTCCTTTTTCATGTTTTTAATCGAAAAATCTATGTTATGCAGATATTTTTAAGTAAATATCGCTATAGTTAACGATTTTTGAAAATTCATTCTTAAAAAACTGTTACTACGTTCATTTCGTTCTATATTGAAAAAGAACAATATAGAAAATCTTTGCAAGCAACTTTTTTGACGAATTTTCATTAAATTTTTTGCTGTTAATACTTTTTAATTTTTGGTAAATTTTTGTGGTGCGAAATTTATTTTTACAGCAAGGCTTATAGCTAAATGGATATCAAATTTTCTATACCTTATCATTTAAAATGTATATAAATTTGCAGAAAATAAATTCTTGGCTTTGCTTAACTTAATATTTGAGCCGAGATGGCTCAAGGGATAGAGTATTCACCTTCCGATGAAGTGAACTGGGTTCGAATCCCAGCGATGACTGCACGACACTAATTCCGCATTCGGCCTGCACCGACCACAGTGCTGGCGTAAAATATCCTCGGTAGTAGACGGATCATGGGTTGTATTCCTTTTGTAATCGGGCTACTGTGGGAAGTTTTCATGGTTTTCCTCACCTTTTAACGTACATACGGGTTAGTTCCCTCAAAAAGTCCTCCACGAAGGCAAATTTCTCCCAATATTTGATCCATGAGTTCCCTTGTCTTCTGGATTGGGTTAAAAATTGCAAGGCTACCGAGTTGAATATTAGTAGCCGTAAACCCAAAATTGGATCGGCTGTTCAACGATGGTTATAAAATAAAATATAAAAAAATAACTTAATATTTCAGTAGTGAAGTTATGTACTTGAAATATGTAGTACTAGAACTGTATTCATTGGTCTTTCTAATATTCTTTTTCCGTAAACTTAAAACATGTTTTTAAAGATATTTTTTAATTTACTAAATATTATTTTTAAATTAATTCCTAAATTCTTTCTTTTCTTTTAACACTACACAAGTAGATTTGATTTATCGGCATAAATTTTTTTTATCTATTACGACGAAAAGTACTTTCAAAATTTTAAATAGAAAAACACATGTGCTTTATCTTTATGTTTTCAAAAAAGTATAAAGATATATTGAAAATATCTTATTCTGTCATATACTGATGCATTCGAATTCTTTCCAATTGATTCGGAAGAAACTCCGATACACATTTTTTAATACTTATTCCCAATACCACAGCTGCTTCTAAACCAGTAATCTAACTTCAATATATTAGTCTACTTTTTTTTGAAAAGGACATACGCATGGGACACCATTAGAATATCTTTGAATTGTCATCGAAAACTTTCAGACCTTTCAGAAAGTTTTTTTCTGCTGGTAACCCTTTGAAAGCTTCCCTGGGGCTTAGCTGAAAGTTTCAAATGGTAAAAATATGCTGTATATTCTTCGTTTTTATCTTGATACAAAATAGAAAAAAAAATAAACAAACTCAGCGGAGACGTTTCATGGTTTTGGCATTTTAGATTTGTATAAACATATCATCGTTTGGTTCTTTCTTCACATTTTCCCCTAGGACACAATTTTCATTTTTTCTCTATTGCATTATTCCCTAAATTATAATGGAATTCCCTACTCATTAAAGCTTTTTCAAAGCCATTTGGGGTTTGGAAGAATTTCCAAGTTTTTGGTGCTTTTCGAACAATGAATTTTGGCCTATCTCTTGAGGTTTGGCGATAAATGGGGATCCGGACCGTTATAGGCACTAAGTAACGGAACAACCGTGGCAATTTTCTCGCCAGTTTACTTTTTATCAGTTTTTTATTAGTTTATTTAGTTTTCTTCCTTAAAACGTGAGCTGTTTTTATTGTATAGAGAACAATTTTCTCGTTATCGCAGAATATGATACATGAAAGTGTTCCAAGCTATAAAAAGAAATATCTGCTGGCTGTTTATAAGGCGGACAGGAAGTATTACCGGCATTATTAGTTTTCGTGTTTCAATTTCGGGCGAGATAGCTTTCGGAAAAGAAAATACAAAAAAGTTTTCGATATTATTATTTTTTTTTTTATAAAAGAAGCATTAGCTATTAAAGAGGCAGAATAGGATTAAAAATGAATGAAAGCTTTGAGAAAAAATTATAACATTTCATGTTTCTAAAATTATTTTAATTGAATTGAGATTTGACATTTAACGTTATTACAGTGTTTTTTATTTTATTTTTAAAGTAACCATTCCTTTTATGAAAGAAAAATATTTTATCACTACTTAAGATTGAATGTAAAAAAAAAGCTATTTGCTTAAATTTTAAATACTATTTCACTAATTAAAAGGGTCTCAACAATTCCTAATTAAAAAAATCTCTTTGTAATAGTTTATAAAAAAACTTCGAGCTCTTTTAATTAAAATAATCCAACAAATTCTTTTTTATTGAAATCAGAATGTTTTGTTACATTAAAATATAAAAGAAAGAAGGGATTATAAATTTTCGTTGATGTTTCCAGACTATATGATAAAAATATATTAAGCTAGTCTCCTGATCTAATTCAAACTTTTAAAAAACATAAAAGGTTTTTTATTTTAATTTTATTTTCAGTCATAAAAATCCATTGCTGCAAAAAAATTATAACTTAACCCGATTAGTTTTTCTCTTACATCGAATTTTCCGATAAAACGTCGATATATACCATATAATTGCCCCTCTACTAATTAGTCAACATGCATGTGGCTGCAAAAAAATTTATTAAACAGAGCATATAATCTTCATAAAACAATGTATCGTTTTAAACTATACCTTTTAATGATGAGATAAAAACAAAAAAAAATTATATAACTCCTGAATATTTAACATTTAATAACATTTTAACTATGCATGTTGCTTAACAAAACTAAATTGAGTATGATTTATACGATTGACAATTAAGATGTCATATTAGAAATTGATATTCATTAAACTATTAAATAAACGTTAATGGAATGTTATAAGATAATATGTAATAATGTTACACGCAATAAAACGCGTGTAATGTATGCTTCAAATGCAGATTTAATGTGCTCATTACAATTTAAAAGTGATAAAAACATAATTGCCTAACTGTTTTGTCTTAAAGTTTTGACATAAAACGTGTCTTGCGTTTCAAAATAGGTGAACATGTTTTTAATGTGTGCGTGTCACGCAAAATAGTGATCACGAAACTTTTAATAATGAAATTTAATAATCGTTCGTTTAAAAAATATATCGCATTGAGTATCAACAAATTTCATAATAAATGATTGGATGAAAGTGTTTGTTCTTATTTGCATAACCAAAGTTCGAGCATACTTAGAAGTATGTGACTTAAAGGATATTTGTAAGATTTAAATGTTACTAAAATAAGTTGAGAATAAGTTGAATATAATAAGTTAAGTAACTTGATTTAATTTTTGTCGATTTTAATGCTACATTGTTAAAAGCGGTAAAGTTACCTTCAATATTTTTTAAACATTAAGTCACCCTAATATAGCTGAGACATTAACTCATGAGGTTAATATAAAAAATTCTTAAAACTGATACGCTTATGTCCCTTTTGAACTATCTAAAAATTGTTTTTCATCTAATTAAAATGACAAAATATTGAAAATTTGTTACGTTTAAATCTCTATTCAGCTAAACTTTTTTTTTAAATGGTGGGCACT